AGCTGGAGCTGAAGGAAACCAAGAAATGTGCCAAAAAATGCCCAGAATTCAGCCCATCCGTGCCTTTGATGCAGGACTGAGCATCAGGGGCCGTTTTTTGGACAATATGGTCCTTGATCTCAGCTCCTCACGCAGAGCGGAGCCAGTGGAGCTGTGGTTAGTGTTTGGTGCTTGCTCGGATGTTGCTCCAGCTCTGAGCGTCAGAGCAGAGCTTGGGGAGGAGGGGGGGATGTGGGATTAGTACTTGTGTGTTCAGTGCAGGGTTTGGATAGACTTGTAAGCATGGCTCCGAGCCACGCAATCAGCCGTTGGGAGCAATAAGAGGGTGGACTTTGGTGCCCGTTCCTGGAGCGGTGCTGCCTTCTGTGGAACGGGGCCAAGGGGCTGTGGGAATCACGGGGAGCACAGGCTTGTTCAAGCAGTTTCTTCAACTCTCTGTGCTTTATAACCTCTCTCTCATTCGGGCTTGTTTTTTTCTTTTTTTTTGGGGTGGTGGTGGCTGAATTCTGTAGGATTTTGCATGCCACTGTCCTCTGAGAGCTTCCCAGTCATGCATTAAGCAGCGTGACTAACGCCTCTCTCATGTGGTTCAGTCTCTCTCACACTCTCCCCGTAGGGAGAATTGTGTGTGCGGAGGAATAGTTGTTTTGGGAGGGGTTTTTATTTTTAAGTGCTCTGTGCTCTGCCAGCAGGTTGGAAAAAGGTGCCTGGCACCAGAGAAGAAAGTGTGGGATGGTCCTTAGATCCCATGGGAAAATAGCCTGATGCCTTAGACTGGCCCTGGGAAGCCTCTTTCTCCTGCACAGACGTGCTTTTCCCCGGTGGTGGAGGCTTCCTCCTCCTCCTCCTCCTCCTCACACCCAGCTCTGGGCTCTCACGTCTGTGCTGTGTCATACGCACCCCTTGGTGCCAAGCAGGATTCCTCACCCCCATGACCCCGGGGCACTTCATGCCTGCTGGCAGCCCCTCGCAGGGCGATGGTCCCACTTGGGTTCCCCAGCCCCTCTCTTCCTTCTTTGGAGATGTCCTTCATCTGCGGCAATGGGGCTTGGGTTCCAGCTCCAGCCCCTTTTTTGGAGCAGAAAACATAGGTGCTGGGCATCCTTGGGTGATGTCCTCCTCCAGGATGGTACAGGGCTCCTGGTGTTTCTAACTGCTGGTGCCCTCCCTCCTAGCTCAGTCAGAGCCATGTGAGGCATCGCCCAGCGTTGAAACTATCACCTTTGCCTACAGTCTTTCACCTCACACCAAGGCTTAGTCAGGACGGCGTTACGTCATTGGCAGTCACGGCCCAGCCTAGTGCAAACAGGCTTGTGCAAACAGTTCAGTGGCAGATGCGGGGGGCATCCTCCCAGTCCCTCTTCCCAGCAGCCGGTGCTGCTCATCTTCCCCTTCTCCTCATCCTCACCACATAGCCATTTCCAAAGGGAGCGCTGGGCAATGGGGTGATGAAGCTCAGTGTGGGTTTGGATACCCCGTGAAGGCAGATGGACGCGTGGGAGGAGTCCAGTGTGAATGCACACTTATGCTGCGGGCAGACACGCGCGTCACCCAGGCGAAGCGTGCCACACGCACAGGGTGCAAGTACCCCCGCACAGGGTGACATCACAGCCGGTGAATGCACACTCAGTGGCGACAGGGACATGCGCACCCTCTGCCCCTGTCCCCACGCAGGCACACACGTAGGTGCACGCACTCCTGCACTCGGTGCGGGAAGGCAAACCCATGCCTGGTGCACAGGCTTCTCCGGCGCAGGCACATCTATGCTCCTTGCAGTGTGTGCACATGTGTGTGGCACACCTGCACACCCTGCTAGTGCACACGTGTGCGTGTGTACAGTTTTTCCTGCGGACACACAGTTGTGCTCCGGGCGGGTGCACATACACACAAATGCTTGTAGCTTACACATGGATACATGCACACTCAGTGCAGACACACGTGTGTGCACGTGTTGCTGGGTTTTGCCTGCGTTGGTAGCAGAGGGGCGTTGTGTTTCTGCTCAGCACCTTACCTCCTCCAGCTTCAGCCCTGCGCAGGGATGACAGAAGTCTTGTTTGCCTCTTCCCTTCCTCCTGGGGTCATACATTTCAGAGGTATCTGCACACAGCGCTGGTCTGAACAGTCACGCGTGACCTCGCCAAGGTGGAAATACCTCTTCTTGGCGTGAAGGATGCTTGCAGGATAAGGGAGCAGAGTCAAGCTAGGCTTTAAAACCATATCTCCAGAAACAGAGACATATTCTCACCTGTGGAGGGAGAGCTCTCTCTCTTCCGCGCCGTTCGATGAGGCACTTGTCCATGGGGAAGCAGGGGATGAAGGCACTGGGAGTTGCTGGCTTGTGGGAAGTACCAGGGTGGACAGTGCAGGATGCTCCAGCTGTAGAGGATCTGTACCGTGCTGGGTGACCAGGAATTGGGCATTTGCTATATGGCACCATGGAGGGGAGATGGTGGAGGAGCGCTCACCCATCCCACAGGGGGGCAGAGAATGGAAAGACGGAGTGATAGAGCGACGGAGAGGGTTGCCGCTGTGGGGCTGTGGCAGCTGCTTGTGGCTGGTGATTTTAGGGCATACAACCACTGGGTTTTCTGGGTGCTGGTGGGCTGGGCTGCACCCCTCACACCTCAGCGGAAGCTGTGTGGGTGTGCATGGACCTTGGAGGAGGAAGGTGTGTTCCCAGTGTGGAAAATGGGGGACAGGAAAGCTGGTGGGCAAGCAGACCACTGGGCAGAAGCTTGTGGCTTGGCACAGGAGACGGTCTCTGTGGGGCTGGTGGAGTGCCTGGCACTGCCTCTGCAGTGTGTGCGTGCTGGGGGGAGGTTTCCAGTGGTTGGGTGCCTGCGGTGCAGTGTGTGCAGTGTGCGTCTCTGCAATGCAGGGGGGGCCAGTGCTTCTGTCACTACCTCTGCAGCGGGTGGGTTTTGGGTGGGCAGCGCGGGCACCCGGTGCGTGCCTGCAACTGTCCCAGCCTGGAGCAGGAGGGGATGGGAAGGCACAGCGTGTCTGCAGTGAGCCAAGGGAACAGTATTTGCTGGCGTAAGGTGTGGGGTTGCCTAGTGACTGTGCAGCAGAGGGGAGATGCTGTGCCTACCCGTTGCAGTGTGCCGGGGCTGTGCAGTGCTGCTGCTCTGCCGGGAGACCAGGGGGTCTGCTCTGCGAGGTACGGCCGCGCTGCAGCACGGGGTGGATGCCCAGCCTGCATGCCTCTAAACAACGGGGTGGGCAGTGCCCCTCTTTCTGCGAGGGGCACGGGCTGTGTGGCAGTGCCCCGCGTGCAGTGCGGGATGGGAGATACGTGGGGCTCTGGCATCCCTGCAGTGTCTTCTTGTCTTGTGGTGCAAGGCTGGCAGCGCTGCTCTGTCCCTGCCGTGGCAGTGCCCACTCTCCCTGCAGTGATGGATGAGCGGTATTCCTGCAGTGCAGGCAGTGCCCTGCATCCCTGCAGTGATGGATGGGAGGCAGCTCTGTATCCTGGCAGTGCCCCATGTCCCTGCAGTGCCGAATGGGTGAGAGCCCTGCATCCCTGCAGTGCAGGCAGACCCCTTGCCCCCGTTTTGGTGCTCCTGTTCCTGCAGGGCTGGCAGAGCGTGCAGTGCCTCCGCGTCCCCGCCGTGCATGGCAGGCAGTGCCCCTGCAGTGCGTGGCACACAATGCTCCTGTGTTTCTGTGGTGAGAAGCTTTTCTCTGAGCCTGGCCGGCTCCCATCGGGTTGCTGGCAGCAGGCTGCGTGCAGTCCACCCTGTTAGTGTGCCTCGTTGGGTCTAATTACAGTTTGCGTGGTGACGAAGAGGGTGGACAGTGGCAGGAGTGGCTTCCTGCAAGTGACAGGAAGCCAGGGCTGAGGTTTCAATGACTGGGTTGCTCAGTCCAGCAGGGTGTTGCAGGAACTTCACAAGCTGGGACCAGTCCTCCGGGGCG